CCCAATTGTGATTTTTTTTTGAGTAGCTTGTCAATTATCAAAAGCTTTAAAATATTTATCAAAATAGGATGATAGGCCACTGCAAAATAACAATATTTAATCAGTGATAATAAACTTTAAAGCAAATGTGGGTATCTACATAGCTGTAAAATAAATAAAAACAAAACAAACAAAAAATACTCAATTTTCCCAAGCAATCAAAAAACCATATAAAGCATGAATTGTTATGTCAACATAGAATAGACCTCTCTGTTTTTGAAGTTTACCCATGAGGCAAAATCATTTATAACGTTCACCAGTAGTATTCACAAGTCCCATCTAAAGGAGAAATACAAATTTTGCTTCTAAATCTGTTCTTTTCATATTAAGGCTCAAATCAAAAACCCTTCTAACAAACTCGGTTAAAATTTAGCCTAACCACATAAGATTCTTTTCTCATTCTGTCTATATTGTTTTTGGTTTTTTTGGTACTGGGGATGGAACTCCAGAACTTGAGCTTGCCAGGTAGGCGCGGTGCCACTGAGCTACATCCCTGGCCCGCATTATTTTTTATCTATGCCATTCTTCCATTCCTTTATGGTATTTGTTTTGTTTTGATTTTTGATACAGGGTCTCGATAAGTAGTCCAGGCTGGCCTTGAACTCATGGTGATCCTCCTGCCTCAGCCTCTCCAGTACTGAGATTATAGGGGTGCGCTAACCACACCTTGCTTTATTTCTTTACTGTAAAACAATTTTAAATAACCTCTCGACAATATTGCTTTTCCTTGAACATGAACCATGTGGTCACGTCTCCCTTTTTCCAGTGACCCAGGCCCCCTGCCCACCTGGCAGGCAGAAACACCTCTCCAACCTCCAGCTGTTTTCATTGCAAACTTTGACCAGGATACAAACCCCTTGAATTAACCAGCCATCTTCAGATTAGCACTGTTCCATTTTCTAGCAATACACTTTTTGTCATAGAGTGGCAGGACATAGTTGTCAACACAGTTACAGTTTGTCTTCCCATGAAACTTAAGGAGCCAAAAGCAACATATGAACCTATGTTGAGCAATGAATGTCTTCATGTTTTATCTTACTTGGACACAACCTGGACAGTTCATGAAGGTTCATCATTTGCTTTAACTTGGTAAAACCCTGAAGACGTAGGTAACATGGACTAATGAAACTTTTGAGCAGACGTGTTATAAAACATACTTAATGTTAAAACACATCTGTAGGGCCGGGGATTTAGCTCAGTGGTTTCTCCACCTGCTGCGCAAGCCCAAGGACCTGAGTTTAATCCCTGGTACCAAAAAATAAAATAAAATCCATCTGTAGACTCTGACCCATGAACATCCACCGGACTTATTGGTCAGGAGGGCAAGTCCACATTTTCATGGTCTGCAAGTAGATAGATGGACAGTTCAAATGTTAGCTTTCACTATGGACCTGTTTCCCAGCAGGGTCATTATCAAAGAATCACGGGGTTCCCTTGATCATAGGTGTAAAAACTAATATTATGCCTTCTTTCACATAATCATCCTATAAGTATCAGTAAGGTGATTGTTTAGGGTGAAAGGTCTCTAGAAATTGTTTTCTCATGTGTAGGATGTTTTACTTTTTTTTTTGGTACAGGGGATCAAACTCGGGACCCTGCGCTTTCCAGGCAGGCAGCGAAACCACTATTCAGTTCCTTTTTTTTTTAATTGGTACCAGGGATCGAACTCTGGTCCTTGTGCTTGTGCGGCAGGCGGCGAAACCACTAAGCTAAATCCCCGCCCCAAGTGTAGGATTTTTAAAATTCAAAGCATGTATCATATATCCATAAATGATTAGGGTCTCCCAAGAGTGAATGGAGTGCTCTCTGCTGAGAGCCTGCCCTGCTGGTCACACATTGAAGGGGTCACTGAGAGGATCCGTGAGCTGGTGCTGTCATCCAGTGCCAACAAGACCCAGTTTGAGCTGATCCCCCATCTCCCTTCCGTTGTGCTTGTGATGCCTAAATACAGATCACACCATTTAGTTCAGGACATTAAACCCCATTGTGTGTCGGTGAGGAGATGCATACTCCCCCCTCCCTTCAGCCTGTTGATTCTGCTTATGTACCTGCTGTTCACATGTGTCTCATGTGCAGCTCAAATATCCCTAATTTATGTTCCAATTGCTTCTTTCGCAGGTACGCGGGGGCACTTTGTCATAGACTGACATGCCTCCACTTATCTACCTATCTATTGCTGTCTTCCATCATTGACTCAGTTCAATCCTACTCCCATCATAGAAATCACCATGGTATATTTAAATAAATTGAAAGTGTCAGATTTGATTTATGTTGAGCAAATGCACAATTGAAACCATCCCTGAAGACTTCAAACATACCTATTCGTTATATGTATTTTATATAGCTGTCATACAAAACATCATATTTCAATGTCATACAAATGTATTCATACCTCTATTACAAGATACAGCATTTGATAGAACCAGTAGTGTTTAATTTTTCAGGACACCTATGTTCTTACTGATTTTTAGTGTTTTTTTCCGCCTAAGGATTTCTATCAGCTTCTGAGAGATTTGTGTTAAGTTCTGAATACTATGACTGATTTTGCCTGTTTCTGCTCCTTTTTGATATTTATGCACTGCAGCCGTAGACTCAGACTTTAAATGGGTATACACCAATTCCCAGTTAATATAATTACTGGTGCTTTATGATTTAGGATCTACCATTTCATGCTATATTCAGTTATGCTCCATCCTTCTCTCTCTCCCTTTCTCTCTAACAACAACAACAAAAACCTTTTATTGTGACTTACAGTCAGTAAAACAACCAAAATATTAAACTAAAATTTATTGGGGCTGGGGATTTAGTGCAGTGGTGCCGCCGCCTGCCTCTCAAGCGAAAGGTCCTGAGTTGTACCAAAAAGAAAAATTTTGTGAATGGGTTTTAAATGATTTGTTGCTAAAAATAAACATGCATATGCTCAAAAAACATTCAAAAACTTTTAAATTATAATTTAATCAGAACTTCTGTAACATCCACCACAAGAAATTACGTAAAATTCTAATTTTCTGATAACATTAGGAAACAACAGATATGAAGTTTAAAATTTGGGAAATTAAGTACATGAAACAAAAGATCTGTATTTTAAATAAGAATTTTAGGACAGGAGTTGCTAAGAAACCACTAGCACTGAATGCTTTCCTTGCAAATATGTTATTTTAAACTTACAGTACAGATGGGTGGGCAGAATATGCAGTTTCATAACAGTGGTGACTTGAGCAGAAGGAGAAAATGTGTTTCGTAATCCACAGTATCAGTTATGTGGATCTTCACAGTTGCCAGTGACTATTTCAGTGATCTTCTTATTATGTTCATTTTAAAATTTAAACAACTTACAGCAAGTTTGAAGCCAACAAAAGCAAATTGGAAGAACACTAAAATTGGTCTTCCTTATTGGGCAGGATATTCCTCATCCAACTGGAGGAAAACACTTCCTCATCCTTAGATCAAAAAAGATGTGAGTATTGACCAATTTTATTACTTTCCTAGTTCAGATGGAAGTCATACTAATACACACAGTGTATGATTTTAGGAACCAGCACAAAGTAAATTCCTAAAAATCAACAATCACTTAGAAAACAAAGTAGGGAGGAGTGTTCTGGGATTTACCAAGGAAGAGTCATCACAATCTTCCTGTCAGTGTGAAAATTTAACCATAAAATTAGCTGAATGATAATTCCAAAGCCTTTTTCAAAAATTATGTTTCAATTTCAAATTAAAGACAGTAAACAATTTTTTTTAAATGCAGTGTAGGGCCGGGGATTTAGCTCAGTGGTTTTGCTGCCTGCTACGCAAGCGCAAGGACCAGAGTTCGATCCCTGGTACCAAAAAAAAAGAAAAATGCAGTGTAATTGATAAAAGACAGATCTTTCTAAGTTCACATTTGTTCCATCAGTTTTTGTACTGAACAACAAGCTCTGAAGTATAAGCTGTACCAAATAATCATCAGGCCCTTTATGACTGGATCAGCTGTCCACAGGGCACCCTTAGCCGGCAACTAAAGCTAGCTTCTGCAGCAGGTGTAAGTACCCCAACTTCAAACACAAGGTATGACAGGGCACTGACCCAACACTGCAACAGACGAAGGCATTTGTCACCTGTATCATTGGCTACAGGTACACTCATGTGCACAACTCTGGCAGGTTAAGTTCACTGTGGTTTAACGAGCCTACTCTGAGCTGAGGAAGGAGATAAGAATTGTGCTGCAATTCTAGCTGATTAAGGCATTCGCTTTTTCCAAGGCAAATAATGGGGAAGTCAGAACTGAATTTCAGTCTGTGTTTACCAGCTGCCCTCTGTCATCTTGACCACACAGGAGTTAAGCAAAACTAAGACTTCCAGCAGGGAGAGGAAAGTCCAACTCTGAGTCAGTGGGGAAAATATGTACTGGCAAGACCATGAGTGATGTCCCCAGGGCAGCAGGCAGTTTGGGAGGGCAGTGCCTGTGGAGGGGGTAGGAAGGGGTGGGCTAGACAGCCAGAGGAACCCTCTTAGGTTTCAACAGGAGAAACATGGACCCAGCAGAAGCACCCAGGGCAGGCATCATGGGCCCTGGGGTGGGGCTGCCTCAGGAGTCAGCTCCTCAAACCACGTTACAGCCTCAGCCCAGGGGAGGCAATGGGAGCCGGCAGAGGGGGCTCTGACGGGAAGGGTGGGCTTCAGAGATGCCTGGAAAGTCAAAAAGGAGATCTTCATAGGGGAATGGGAGGTGGTGCCGGACACGGACAGTGAGTTCCCGCCACTGCTGGCCTGGGCTGGGGAGACACCCGGGCCTGGGAAAGTCCCCCGAGAGCCCCACCCCCAACAGCCAGTGGTCAGCTGACCCAAGTCCTGGCTTGGTCTTGCACAGGAAGTGCCCTGACCCTCCAACCTCCCCTCCTCCCTCCCCTGGAGAAATCTGATCCTAGGAGTTAGTTCCACCCGCTCAGTACCCTGCCAATCCCTAACTTCCCCATGGGCAGGAAAAGGAAACTCAGGAGAAATCAAAACTGCAGCGGAGACCTGGACACAGAAGAGCCCAGTATCCAGACCCAGGCCTATCCCACATCAGCACCATGAGCCACACGGGCCCGGCCTTCTTCTCCCACGCCAACGTCGGCCTCCCCCCAAACTATGAAAAGATCCAGGAGGAGCACGAGGTGGCCGTGCTCGGGGGCACCCATGGCCCTGTTCCCGCAGCCTCCACCGTGATCAACATCCGCAGTGACATCGCTGTACCCGACCACGTGGTCTGGTCCCTCTTCAACACGATCTTCATGAACACATGCTGCCTGGGCTTCATAGCCTTCGCCTACTCCATAAAGGTGGGTGTCCTGGGCATGGTGCTCTGGAAGGAGCTGTGAGCCTCCGTCCCAGCTTCCTGGACAGCACCCGGGTGTCTGGGTGTGTGCATGCGTGTGCTTGTGTGTGCGAGACCTGTGAATGCCCTGGGCCGTGTATGGGGTGCATGTCCCCCTGTGCGCATGTGCGTGTGTGCTGAGGCATCTCCCAGGCCAGGCACGGGTGCGATGCCAGGGCATCCTGGGGTCACACTTGGTCCCCGGCCACCCAGAGGAATTCTCCCCGCTGCCCACACCAGCCCCAGGCTGTCTGGGAGCTGCAGAAGGACCCACAGGGCACTTTGCCCCCGGTGGTGAGTGGCCAGCACCCGGGCCTCCTGCACAGTCTGAGTGTGGGGGGGGTCCCCGACCTGAGTGAGGGCAGGGCAACCCTGGGGCCCCCCGGTCAGCAGCCTGGCTCTCCCCTGACCCAGCACAGGGCCCTCACTCTCTGGTCTCCCCCAGTCCAGGGACAGGAAGATGGTGGGCGACGTGATCGGGGCCCAGAGCTACGCCTCCACTGCCAAGTGCCTGAACATCAGCGCCCTGGTCTTAAGCATCACTCTGACCATCACCGTCATCATTGTGTTTGCCTTCACCTCCGTGCATTTGTTCAAGATGATGACATGATTCTCAGAGCCACTAGTCCCGAGGCTTCCTTCCCTCCACAGCCAGCTCTGACCCTGGGCTGGGCTCTGCCCTGCACCTCACACCTTCAGCAGCTGTCCACAATTGAGCCCAATAAAGTGTGTGTTTCCACAGTGCTCTGATGTTTCCTGAGGAGGGGACATTGCTCACTGTCCTCGTTTTGGTCCTGAGATGAAGCCTACCCTTGGTGCAGTCTCTGTGAGGGGCACGGCAGGTCCTCAGGGATGGAGGTCCTTAAGTGCCTGCTATGGGGTGCAGTCCACCAGGGTCCTACTAAGTCCTCTTTGATGTTTTCCTGACCACAGGGCACACTATGAGAAGCATTGCCTGACTCCAGGCCAACCCTTTCCACTCCAGTGGGAATGTGTGCACTCCTGGCCTTGGAGATCTACTGTGCCTTTGTGTCCTTGGGGCAAGTCCAGGACAAGTCTGTGCCTTCCTGGCCCATCAAGCTCTGCCTCCATCTTGGCTACTGCCTCCTCTGTTCTCATGACATTGTCCACTCTCTGTGGGTGTGGCCAGTGTGCTAGCCATTGCCTGAGGGAAATCAAAAGGCAGAGGTCAGACTTATGTCCCCTTGACTATGCACAGACTCTGAGGTCTGAAGTCTGATTTCTTGGACCCCAGTAGGCCTGGCCTTCCTGCAGGAGAAGCTGTCCCTGTCCACAAAGGTTTGGGCACTGTGGAGTTGGGACCTCCACTCAACTGGAAACCATGGTTATGCAGGGCTGCTGAGGAGTTCACCTGCCTGGCACCTCAGGCCAGGGTTCTCTTGGCATCACTTACTCTGTCCCAGATCTACCTCCAGAAAATCTATCCAAGTCCGTGCTCCCTTAAGCCTTGAGGAGCCCTAGCTCTTAGGGTTGGTGGGCAATGTGGGGTCCCTACGTGGACAGTGGATGTGAGAGAGGGTGTTCTGTCCTCAGTGTCCCATGTGAACGTGAGAAGGAGGCTGGCAAGGACCCACCTAGAACAGAGCCAGTGGGATCATTCCAGGCCTCAGGGAGCACATCAGTGCCCCTCTGCTGGTATAGGCAAGGTATAGACAAGGTCCCTGTGTGGTCAGCAGTGGCTGGGTGGGACTCAGGTCCTACTGGGTAGAAAACTGTCCTGTGGGGCCAGCACACAAGCTGTGATCTGCTTCTGCAAGTGTCCAGGGGAGGTCTGCAGCATGGGGTGGGAGGAGGCACTGGGCAGATTGTATGTCCTGACTGCTGACCTCTGGGCATATTTGTGCTTGGCCAGGATTTCCTGGGACCATGAAATGGGCATGAACAGGAGATGAACATGAATTATGCCTGGCTAGCGCAGTGTGTGCTGCTGGGCAGGTGGGCAGGACAGGCAGGGGGAAGACACAGGTTCTTTCCCAAGTGGTGCACAGGACCCTATAGGGTCTGCTTTGCCCAGCAATGAGTCCCAAGAGAACAGATGGGCAGGACCTATGAGGTTCCTGGGCTAGATTTGGGCCAGGGGGCCCCACCAGGCACACAGGAGGACTGGTTGGTATGCAGCTGACCTTAGCCTGGCCTCTTGGTTACATGGGTGTGGGCTTCCCAGGGCCCATTCTCCTAACTGAGCAGCTAGGATTCCCATCCTCCCAGCTGAGGAAACCATGGAGCTTCCCCTAACCAGGGAGGTGCAGGGGACCAGGCAGGGGTGTTATGCTGCCAGGTGAGGGAGGACAGGGCCATGGGATCCCTCCAGAGGCTTCAGTGCTCAGTTCTAGAATGGGCAGCAGTTTAGCCCAAAGACAAATCAGAAACCCCAGCCACCCACATGGGCAGTTCACACCGACAGCAGAGGTCAGGAAGGATGGTCACTGCAGGCATTGTCTGTCTGGACACAGTTACAGCAGATGCAGTTTGGTGACTGAGTAGCCACATCTCAGCTGCTAGGGATCCAAGCAGTGAGTGTGCACATTCAGCTGGGACATAGCTCCCGGGAGCAGAGCCAGCTCAGGCCAGACTTCGGCCACTGGACAGTGCCAGCACCGGGCTGCCTGGACCCAGAGTCTGGGACTCAACGTGCAGCTCCCAGGCAGCCTGGGACTTTGAACCAAAGGACCTGGCAGGTCCAGGAGCAAGTCTCTCCCGCATGGCCCTATTCCTGCACTCTTGCCTTAACCTGCCTTGGTAGGTGGTGGTTCGTTCCCAAGAAAGGGAGAGGCCTTCAAAGACATTTGCTCCCCTTGCTATAGGGCTGAAAATGTTTCCTGGATTTGTTGTTGTTGTTCTTGTTGCTTTTTCAGTTCCTTCTCCAAGAATGTTTTTAGGAGGGGCAAATTCTGAGGCTTTCTGGAAATATCTTCTTTTCTCTGGAAAACAAAACTTTATAGACCCAGCAACAATTTCAATTAAAAAATCCCATGCTTCTCTCATCCAGGGCAGTGACTTCTCTTTTGGCCTGACCTTGGTCAGAAGCTATGTGAATCCTTCAGCTTCTTCTTGAGAGTCTCAGGATCCCTGTGCTGTCCCAAAGAGACCTTTAGGTTCTCAGAAACTGGTGCTCACTGGACTCCTTCCCTCAAGCCTTCTTGAAGACACAGCCTTCAGGGCTGTAGTTGCTCCCAAAAGCTTTCAGGAAAGCATCAGAAGAAACAACTCCACAGGTGATGCGACATAAAGGTGGCCACAGCTAAAGTCCTGTTGAGAGTGGCACCCCAATGCCAGGGAATTTGATTGTTCCTACAGTACACAATGTCTTCCCATCATAACTACAGTCAGAGAACATCATGTAGGACAGAGCTGGGTTCCAGGAATCCCACAAGGTCTCCAGAGCTGACTGTGGTCTGGCCAGGGGAGATGGTTCTCCTCAGTGTCCCCTAGGGCCACGGTAGCGAGGCTTGGTCCACAAGGTGGGGACAGGGAGAACCCAGGAACTGGGTGGCAGTCAGTGCTTACAGTGATTGCTAGACAAGCTTGAGCCAGCCTTGCCCTCCCTCTCTCTGCCCTTGGCTAGAGATGTCATTGCCCTCTCTGTTTCACCGCCAGCTGCCATGGCCCCTTATGCCGTGAGGTAACAGCCTACAGTCCACCACAAAGATGGTACTTCGAGACTGGGAATCCAATAAACCTTTTCTCTTTTTAAAGCTAGCTGCCTCTGATATTTTGCTACAGTAATTAGAAGCTGACCAATACAATGCATATTAATGACATATCCATACAAACATAAGACAAAAAGAGCCCTCGTGCCTGCCCGTCCCCCATGCCACAGAGCCCTTGTCCCACACATCCCCTTACCAGGTGCTCACCATTCACCTGCTGGCACGGCAGCCTGTCTTCCCTGGGCCACAGCCTTGTTTTCTCTCTCCTCAGACACAAAGGGTCACAGGTATGTCCGGGTTTTTGTTCCCCAATCACTGTCCTAATCATTGCGAGTGTCCATAACACCATAACCCTCAGAGCAGCCCTGGCACTCAGAGCTGCTAGTTCCCCGTTTGACAGAGGGAGAAGTGGAGGCCTAGAGAGTGCAGGTAGTTTGTCCTCGTCACTTAGCAGAGAGCAAGAGAGCAGACACAGGCTGGCTGTAGGGTCTGTATTCTTGGCCACCGTACTACTTTGCCTAGTCCTCATTTTGTATTATTTCTTTCAATATCATTAATATTGATTTTTGTCCTAATTTTTATTTTAAAACAATTGAAGACACAGAGAATTTCAAGAATGGGACAGAAAGTTGCTGCATCTCCCCATGCAGATGCCAGCCGTCAACATGACGGTGGCACAACTGCTGCAACAGGGAAATAACACATCTGAGTCTCAGAACAACCTCAAAGCTGTCAGTGAGTCTTCTCTGCCACGCCTTTGCTGTGCTGTTTGCAGCTGGGGACTTTCTGCCTCCTCCTCTTCCAGCAACTGGAATCTGGGTCACAAAGGCCTCACTTTGGGGCAGTGTGGATGGGGGCACCCTCCAGTCTGTGGCCTGGACTCCCACACCTCGCGATGCCCTGACCAGGTCACCCCAGATTCTATCAGGAGCTCCTGCAGGCTCCTCATTTTTCAAATGTTTTTATTTCAGTTTTGCTTTACTGTTCATTTCATTTATTTATGTGGCGGGGCTGGGATGGATCCTCTGTGCACACTGGACAAGGACTCTGCCGTGGAGCACCCCCCACTTTGTTCCTAACTGGCCCTCATACCTGAACAGATGCCATTGTACCAAATGGTGTTTATGTGTTGGGAACCTGGCATAGTGACCCCATCAGGGCAACCAGCAGCTTCATCACCTCAAATACCATAGTTCCCATATTTTGTGGTGAGATACTCAAAATACTTTTTTAGGGTTGTTTTTTTTTTAAAGACAGATTCTCACTGTTGCCCAGGCTGGTCTCGATCTTCCTGGCTCAGCCTCCTCAGTATCCAGGACCATGAGTATGCATCACTGCAACAGGATTTCTTCCAGCTGCTTTGAAATGGTGCTTGTGTTTTGGCTGGTTGGTTTTTGCATTACTGAGGGTCAAACCACGCGGCACTCCACCAGAAGCTAGGCCCCCAGCTCTTTTATTTTTTTATTCTCACAGTTCAAGTCCCACATAAAACTCAAACTTCCAATCCTCCTGCCTCAGCCTCCCTCAGTGCTAGAATTACAGGTCTGTGCCCCAGGCCCAGCTCTGTTACACTCTTCTGTGTCTGAGAACTTCTGCTTCCCTTCCCAATTACTCCTGCAGATGGTGCCAATGGTGTGCACTCACAAACACGTCCGTGAATTCCTCTCAGAAGCACTTTTGGATTGTCTGGGATGGACAGTTCAATGTGTTTGCAGCTTTACTGGAGGGAATTCGCTAGGTGTACAGAGTTGAACCTTCGAGTCTTGTGGCTGCAGCTCCCAGATACTGGCCCTGCTCACAGCAGGGTAGGGAGATGAGCTCTGGATCATCTTAACCCAGCTAGCACTTTATTAGTCTTCTGAATGCACCTGGATCATTTTGGTTATTGCCTCTATTATCTGTTTAGTTATATTTCCTGTGATCCCATTGAGTAGCTCTTTGATCTGTTCTCTATCCTCCTCTGTTATTCTTTTGAGTAATTCATGTGGCTTATGCTATTCTCCCCCTTGAACACCCTTGAGTTGACTTTGGGGGAGTTGGAAGTTTTGAGAAGAATTTTGCTGCCTTGTCTTC